AAAATATAGCAGTGTTCATCCATTCCTAATGAATTCCACCGTTTTTCTTTTTTATGTAACCATTTTCTTCCCACAGGTTGGTAAACGCTTTCCAGGCCAGGATCATGACCAATGAATGAATCTCCATATCCTTAGCATCTACAGTAATGTCATGGTCAAACTATGTTGTTGAGTTCCAAATGACTCTGCATTTTGCTCATAGTAGGAAAGGAATTGTTGAAATATTACTACACAAGTCTGCTTATCCCCTCACTTTTCATTGAAACCATCAAAAACCTATGTCTTTCATTAAAGAGATTGTGTCACAAATGTCTTGTTGATAAGATCTCACCTCCTCATCACTGAATTACAGTTTTCAGGCCCGAAAGATTGAAACTGATGAATATAAAATGGGCATACAAATTATATCATTTGTGGCCAGGACCCAAAAAACAGCAGGAAGTACATTACTAATGAAGTTAAACAAATAATGCCTTTCCTTTCCATGTTGTCTTTAAATTTGTCAGAGGCATATTAATTCAGAATCTAGTTATTATATAACGTAGGCCGGTAATAGCCAGAGAGGTAAATAAATTAAGATAAGTAGCTAACAACCTGCCTATACCTATATTTTTCCCTAAAAGCTGTAACCTGCCCTTCTAACCTATACAGCCTTTTCCATAAAACAGTTTTAATTTGGGTCATGTGTTGAGCATCTGCTGTGTCCCAGGCCCTTGGCTAGGCCATGGAGAAAGGTAGTTCTGGGCCCTGACTTCCAAGTGTGAAAGCTGTAGCAAACTGGACAAATATGTGGAAGAATGTTGAGGTTTTTGTTCTTTTTGAATCAAATTATCAATTACCAAATGTCTCAATGCAATGGAAAATCATTATTCAATCCCCACAGATGAACTGGAGTAATTTGACCGGAAGCATTTAAACCTGCTGCTTTCTAACATACCCTAAACATGGCTTGTCCAGGACCCAGATGCTTAATAAGTTCTAGGTATACCATGGGAGCTTTCTCTCCTGACATCAGCAGAGAGCTACTGCCAGACACTTGTTACACATACATTGCCTTGGAAATGTACCTGTGCTAGTCACCATAGCAACACCCTTGCGAATGACCTCAGCAGCCACTCAGAATCATTCCTACAAAACAAATTATGTCTATAATTAACTCTCTGGATTTACTCTGCCATATAAATTTGTTTAGACCACACTGTTTCTTTTTAAAAGGTTAAATGAATGGAATAATCCAACGTGAACCCATCCCCCATATTCCACCATAGTTGTTCTTTGGAATATGAAGTGCTTCAATGGAAAGTAGAATTCAAATAAAAGGTGCTATTATTTTTTTCTCAAAATGCGAGGATGACCAGCAAATGAGGATGCTCTAGTTTTATCGTGCTATACCGCCATTTCTAAAAGAATAGAGTGGCTTTTTTCCCTTAGCAAACCTGAAATGCAAATAGTGCTGTGAATCCCCTTCCTCTTGAGTCCAGTGAGCCTGAAATAAGGAGAAGACTGACAGGGCAGAGTGGGGGGCTTGGGGGGTGTACAGGTAGAAGCTCTTCACACTGTCTCCTTCTTTGCAGTGAAAAATGAAATGCTTAGTTGTCTACATGTTTCTCTTGCTTCACAAATTAACTGCAATGCATCTTCAATCCTGGGCATCCAGACTTCCCTCTAGGAGAGAGTAGTCTTTTGTTTGGTTAGGGGGTTTGTTGTAGGGGTGGTTTTGTTTTCCTTTGCCTTGTTTTGGGGTTTGGGGGTTTGTTTTGGTTCTAGTTGATGTATTTGGCAACTAGTAGAGCTAGATGGAGTTCCTTTCAGCCTGTTTCTTTTGTTAAACTAGATTAATTTAACTGTTTTACTATCCCGAATGAGGGGAGCCTTTGTCTTCACCACCCAACTGAGGCAAAGCAAAGAGAATGTCAAGTAAGAGCTGTAGTAGAGTGTTCGCCATGACACATGTTGATACCCAGGCAGTGAACAGACAGAGCCTGGCAAGCACCAAGCGCTCAGCATTAGTTAGCTGTCACGATGGAATTTTTGTATTCTCTATGAACTATATTGCCATTGAAAAGGAGAAAAAGAAAGATGAGGAGGGAAAGGTATTCTTGCAATTATGAATGTTTTAGATATTCAGCTAATATCTTCCTGGATTTATGGACAGATACCGTTGACAGGTTTTTCTGTGGTGGACTCTAAGCCCTTGTAAGTGGTTTCTCAGTTGCTGGGTGTGTACCCTGATTCCATCTTACCTGAGCATGTTTTCCAGGAAGCTTAGTTCCTCCTTCTGAATTGGAGATATACTATCCAACTTCCTACTGAGCAATGTGACAGGTAATTTCCCACTTCCTGTGCTGGTTCTTTAAATTCCCCTGTGCAAACATCTGTGTTTTAAAATAGAATGGTAGCAAGCACTCTGGTTCATCCTCAGGAAACAGAAAGCCATAGTTTTCCTCTACCATAGGACACCATAGCGCCTGATATAAGAGAGTTAGCAACCTCCTGTTCTGACTTCTCTGTATGGCATTATGGGAACAGAAATGGTTTGTGGGGCAACATATTTCTGAGTAAACGTGCCAGTGTAAACTTAAAGTTCCTTGATTCCTCTGAAATACTCATAAGTTCTTATATACAGTAGTTGAATAAAGAGTGATCTGTGGATTTCAAAATACATGTTCAAGTCTTTTAGATCAAGGCCCTGATAAGTTAGAAAACTCCATCTGTACAGGGTAGCCAGTTGATGTTGTACATATGATGTAATGAGCTAACTTCGTCTGTAGAATGAAATACAGATCAGTTCCATGATCATGAGTACATTAACTCTATCAGAGGACTTCAAGGCCACGCCAAGATATTTACTAAAATTTCAGGTACAGGCCATGTTTGCATTTCCTTCCTGCCTTTCACACCAGTATTTCACCAGCCTCCCTCTCTTTGTCCTCAGGCCAGTTCTATACTAATTAAAGATACCAGACTGGTTCCTACTAAGCAGTAAAGAGCTAATTTCCAGCTAAAGAAATTGATGTATTCAAGATAAGGCCACTAGAATATAAAATAGTTGATTTGCAGTAGGAATTTCTAGGCTGCTACTCTTTTGTTTTAAAAAATTGATACCATCAAAGAGGCAGTAATTTTCTTGGTTAATGTCAGACTTAAGTCCTACCGTTTTATGATTCTGTAACTCTCACAGACTTAACATATTTCTTTTAAACACTCAGTTTCAAATTTAAGGGTATCATTTGAATAGACATACTAAGAAACAGTGTTTAAATGATGCTAAAGCTATTGTCTCAGCATAGGAAATCCAGCCAGCTAGCCAGCAAATATTCATTACCTCAAAACTCATTGTCTCTTGTTCGTGGGCATAAGAATTGAAGGTCTAATTTTTTCTAATTCTCTTGATGTTTCCACCTTTTCTTTAATCTTGTTCACAAGTTAGGTACTTTGTTATATATACCTTGTAGTTGTGTGTTTTGAAACCATGTCCCTGCCCCATCCTCTCCTAGACAAAGGGGAGCATGGTGCTGCATGACATCAAGAAGATGCCACTCAGAACAGTCATTTTCACCTGGTTGTCGTCAGTTCTATCAAATGATGTCATTCTCAACATTCCAAATTACTTTTTGTACTTTGAGAGAACAGAACGTGAATGGAATAAAAGGTTTTCAACATGGCAAAATTACACTGAAGGAGAACATATGAGTAGCTGCCAGGTTAGGACTGGCAGGGGTAACAGGCAGTTTCTTCATGGTGATAGAACAGTTCTGGGTCCTCATTGTGGTGTTACATGAATCCCTACATAAGATAACATTTTGTAAGACTAGATACCCTCCACACCATTACATAGTTGGTCCTCCATCTCTGTGGATTCCAAATTCATGAATTCAACCAACCACTGATTGAAAATATTCAGGAAAAATTTGCATCTATGCTGAACATGTGTAGACTTTTTTTTCTTAGTATTCCCTAAACACTGCAGGATAACAGCTATTTACATAGCATTCCCATTGTATAAGTATTATACGAAATTTGGAGATGATTTAGAGAGAATACATATAGATTATACATGAAAATATTGCTTCATTTTATATCAAGGACTTGGGCATCTACTCATTTTTGGTATCTGTGAGAGGTCCTGGAATCAGTCCTCCATAAGCCCTGAAGGAACTGCATACACACACACATTATGGGTGCATGTAAATTCAAATTAGATCTGTAGTTCATAGTTTTGTATCAATATCAGTCTCCTGATTTTGATAATATACTGTGATTAAGTAGGATATTGTCATTAGGGGAAGCTGAGTGAAGAATATTAGGGGAATTCTCTGTAATATTTTTGCAACGTCTAATGAGTCTAAAATTATTTCAAAACAAAATGATTTTTAAGGGATATAAAAGTATAATATAACCAAATGAATTTAGGGTTAGGGTTGTGAGGACTAAATGTTGAGACTCTCTGACTCTCCGACCTGTTATTGCTGCAGTAACTAGAAATCTTGTGATTTCACATTAATCATGAGTGACTTAGGCTTATACCTAATTATGAGGGACAGAATTGAAGGCATGGTATCCTGTTGTCTTCTCTTAAGGGAATAAGGAAATTCATTCCAGGAAAAAACAGATGTTGTTCTATCAACTAGCCAAAAAAAAAAAAAAGGTATTCTGACCTTATGTGTAATTTTATTATCTCAAAAGCTATTTGTTTTAATCTCCTGCTTTACCAACTGGAACCGCTAAATAAGTAAACAGTGGGAACTAATTTGAATTTCTTTTCCTTCTTCTCCCTGCCTTGGGTGTAGGGTTCTCCCTGATGAGAAATACGGACAACTTTCCTCTGCGTGGTGGACGGTTGACTTTAATCTTTCTTTTCCCCAAACTTCTGTAGCCCTTTCTGGTGTTTTTCTTTCTCTTCTTCCCCTGTCTTTTTGGATCCATTTTTGCCCTTGTCTTCCATAGACAGATTTGGTGTGCTTGTCACTGACGTTCTCATTGTGTCTTCCTTTCTCTAGCTATCTTAATGACTTGGACCGCGTAGCTGACCCTGCCTACCTGCCTACGCAACAAGATGTGCTTAGAGTTCGAGTCCCCACCACAGGGATCATCGAATATCCCTTTGACTTACAGAGTGTCATTTTCAGGTAGTAACCGAGTTCACAAAACCCACTTCTCAGCTTTTATTTCTTGAGTAGAGTTGATAAACTCTATAAATATTGAAATCATGTTTACACTTTAAGGCAATATAGCCTCTATACTAATTATTATTGTTGTTAGTTACACAAATGATATAAAGGAAGGAGCAGAAAGATGTACTGGAGTTTCTCCTTTCAACTTAGATGACCAAGAAACCATTAAAATTTCAGTTTGCTTGTGACTGAACAAAATCAGGTCCTAATTAGAATTATTTTTGGAATCTCTTTAAACGTGAGGATAATGGATATATTCTTACAATTATTTAAGATATGAATGATTTTATAACCCTGTCAATAATAGAAATTATATGTTGTTGGAAACTTTTCATATTGGTGTTTCTTCCAAGTCCACTGGTACCAATGCAGATTTTTCAGTAGTGATAAAAATATGTGATGTTTTATATTCATAAAATATGTGGTTTCAGAATTTTCAAAGTACCTGATTTTGAAATGGGTTAGTTAACGTAGTCTGTATGTGTCTTTGTATAGCAAAATAGAATGAAGTTATATTATATCCTCTTTCACTACAGCTGTTTCCTCAGGATAATACTTTGACAGAAGCATTCCTTTTTTTTTAAGATGAGAAATAATACCAGTGTACTTTTATTACTCTTATTATGCAGTCAGTTGTACTTTTAGTTAGAATACAAATATGTGGTATTTTGAAAAATGAAGCCTTGTGAATATTGATGTAGAGAGCTGAGTTTCTCAGGTGAGCCCGCCCCTGTGAAGGTGAAAGTGTCAGTATCAGCTCAGCTCCCTACTGTGTAATCCTACCCTGTGATTCTCCTTAGTCAGCCCTCTTTTTCTTTTGACAGAGCGCTGTATTTTATTCTAAACAATCTCTGCACCTCTAGTCAAATCTGGCTGCAATACATTGTCCTAAAGGACACAAACATAACATGAGGGGCATTTTGGAAAAATTTCTGCTACTCAGTTCTTTTTTTTTTTGAGACAGAGTCTCACTATGTCACCCTCAGTAGAGTGCTGTGGCATCACAGCAACTTCAAACTCTTTGGCTTAAGCGACTCTCTTGCCTCAGCCTCTCGAGTAGCTGGGACTACGCGGGTACCTACCACAACACCCAGCTATTTTTTGGTTACACTTGTCATTGTTGTCTAGCAGGCCCAGGCTGGGCTCGAACTTGCCAGCCTTGGAATATGTGGCTGGTGCCCTACTCACTGAGCCACAGGCACCTCCTGGCACTAGCTTTTGAAGAACATTTTTTGCACTACAATAAAAGTAATGACTTGGGAGTATAATTTCCTATCATCATTAAAAGCATCTTCTAAGGCCTACCATGATAGGGTTTGAGGATTTTATAAATATGGAGTATATTATTCATGTGCTGCCATCAAGAAAGAGCCAGTATTTTGGTGTTTCCAGAGACCTAAGAATTCCAGTTTTGATGTCCACAGTTCATAGGTCTCTCTTTCTCCTGTGCCTTTGAATACTTAGCAGCAATCACTAGAAGACCGTTGAGCTATTCGTTTAGGTTTAATACTGGCTGGCAGCAGGATGATACCAGAAACAAAATGTGGTTTTCAACAAATGCTTGAAGAATGCTACTTCTGAACTTTAGTACCCAAACCTCTCATTCTCTGAGAGGCTTTTCTCCTGTGAACATTGTGTACATTTCAGTCAAGATATGGATTCAAAACTTTGAAGAAACTTTGATTCAGTACAAAGCACTGCTAGATGTTTTTATACGTTATTACTCAAATCAATGTCAGTGTTGGTTTCTGAGCAGCAACTGAGCACAGAATTGGTAAAAACAAACCCTTGAAATGGTTTAAGCGAGCCCCCTTGTAGCACCTTGATGTTTTATACAGCACTTGTCTTCCATCTGGTTGGCAAGTTGATTTGTGCACAAGGCTAATGGTGCCATGTTATCTGGCGTGACTGAACCTGTCTCATACTGTTACCAATATTGGAAGGAAAAAATAATCCAGAATGCTTACTTACTCTCCTGGTAAAGGATCCATGTGGGTTGTGTTTGTAGTTAGTTAAAGCATCATGTTACTTACATTGAAATATATAGGACCTTATATCTTTGAAATGCATTTACAGTCACCTCTAGTCCTTAAGGTATACATGAGGATCTTTGTTCTGATTTTAATGGAAAAGAAACTCAAGTTCAGCATTTGCTAGGAGGGCTTAACACAAAACTCATTCTGACTCTTCAGTGCTTATTTAAATACCATTTTTCTCAGCAGAGATAAGGATATTTTTTACAAAGTTAAAATTTTCAGACACATTTGGTAACTTTCTAATAACCGCAATGATTTATTTACCCAGAATGTCTTGACGATGACTATTAGGTAACAGAAAATTAGCAGATATTCCTTAAGTATTAATCGAGTTGACTTAGATGACCATTGTCTTTCAAGAGAATATTTTTCCTAAGTTTGTAAGTAGTTCTGTGTTTATATTGATTTTTAAAAATCTTTCTCTATATGTTATTAATATGAGTATCGTTAACCTTGCAGAATGGTCGATGTAGGGGGCCAGAGGTCAGAGAGAAGAAAATGGATACACTGCTTTGAAAATGTCACCTCTATCATGTTTCTAGTAGCGCTTAGTGAATATGACCAAGTTCTCGTGGAGTCAGACAATGAGGTAAGTGTTCTTCGGACAGGCAGTGGATTATCATTTGATCACCTGTTATAAATAAATGATAGGAAGTAAGTTGTGGCGGATGGGGTGAACTGGCTTTGTTGCTTTCTTGACTGCTGATTTTAGGATTTTTAAATAACTAAAAATAACACTGTGGAAACACATGGCACTCTCCGAGTGCTGAGCTCCTCTGTCAGACTTTGGGCAGGTTTGTGTGTTGAGTTCCATTTAGATGCCGACTGTACTTTTAACACAATGCAGAGGTTCTAAAAATGAAAATAACATGGAAATCCCTAGGCTAATCATTAGATCATCGTATAACCTTTTCCCTACAGGACAGAATCAGGAATGTTGGGCTGAGTCACCTTGTTTTATTTTGTTTGCTTTTTGTTTTGTTTAAATCATTGTTTGTGTGATGGGTGGGTCCCAAAGCATACCCAGAACCTTTCTTGGCAAACATGAATGACTTTGCAGCTGGGCTCTAGATCAATTCATTGTGGAGCCAGGCAGTGTCCTGGGGATGGGGCCTTTCTGCTCTTAGAGAACTCTGCAGGCTGTTACATAATTTTGTTTCTGCTAAACAGAGGGCGATTGACAAAGTGAACCTAATATGCCTGTCTGGAGAACTGATTCAGAGTCATGATTTCTTCCCCAAGAGAGGAAAACTTAGCAGGTGTAAATGTGGATTTTGAGGATGGTAAAAGGCTTGATGATGAGTCAGAGTTGATTATGGAGGATAATTAAAGGGTGTAGAAAACTGCCTTTGTGCTGGAGTTCAGTGTGCATACGCGTGCGTGTGTGTTTAGGGGGAGTGGAGAAGATGCCATTGATATCCCGTTAGAGGCAGAGATTGCAGACTTAATACCAATAGTACTTATTAGACATAACATAGAAAATAGAAGGAAGTGAGATATCCCGACAGCTGACTAATACAAGATCTGGCATATTAATAATGCTTTTAATACTGTCCAGTTTTTTATGTACACAAGAATTCCTGGCTTCCTGATCCTTTTAAACATTTTATTTTTCTGTAAATATTCATATCTCCATTAAAATGCATATCTAGTCCTCTATAGCATATCATTTGTGTACAGGCCCCTGGGTTACAATCAAGATAGGTTCTATAGGTTTCTTCTTATGTTGAATTTGTATATAAGTTAGAACAGGTACATTTACCTATTACTGGTAATAGCCCCTGTTCATAAGTGTGAGTCATGAGTAAGTCCGATGTGTGTAACACAGGGACTGCTGTATAGGGTTGATAAAGTTTCCATGAACTAGTCTCTCATAAAGAACTGAGAGTTACCTGTTCATGCATTTCAGCCTCTTTCCTGGTTGCAGGTATATGGGCTTTCGAGTCAACCAAAGAATTCCATTCAAGAGTGAGTCTTGTTTATCAGCCAGTTGCCCCCCTACCTGTAAAAATAGACTGCCTAAAACAATGCGAAAATGTATGACAGTCAGTTATCAAAATGTAAGTTAGGCAATTGCTGTCAGAATTTTAACCATCTGAATGTCTGTATCTGTGCTCATTTGATTGTTCCATAATGTAGTATTTTAAGCATACTGCATATTTGGGAAGCAGATCTATTATAATATTTCTGATTTCTTTAAATGTTGGGTCAAGACAAAAAAAAATACTTTGACAACTTGCATACTGTGTACTGGGTACCAGGGACCTAAAGAAATGCAAAAATGAAAGAAAAAAATAATCCTTGCTCTGAAGACCTAAAAGAGATAGGTTTTTGGTCAGAATAAAGCATATGGAGGAAGGAAAGCCTTTGTTATGCAGATCATCATTTCTCTTCAATCTGCTATCTGGTAAAATAAAATTTACATTTATTAACAACACAGAATATGAAAGAAGCATGTATGATTTTATTTCCTATGTTTATCTTAGAGCTAGAAGACAGGTATTTATCAGTACACATTTTGTATGCGATGAATGCATTATATAAAGAAATATATGTGGCTCGGCGCCTATAGCTCAACCGGCTGAGGCGCCAGCCACGTACACCTAAGGTGGCGGGTTCGAATCCCCAGCCCGGACCCGCCAAACAACAATGACGGCTGCAACCAAAAAATAGCCGGGCGTTGTGGCGGGCGCCTGTGGTCCCAGCTACTTGGGAGGCTGAGGCAGGAGACTCGCTTGAGCCCAGGAGTTGGAGGTTGCTGTGAGCTGTAATGCCACGGCACTCTACCCAGGGGGACAGCTTGAGGCTCTGTCTCAAAAAAAAAAAAAAAAAAAAGAAATATATGTAATGGTCTATTGCTAATCAATTTACCACTTTAAAATTATTGAAACAGAAGAGAAAGTAGATTCCTTTGGCAGTTCATCAGCTAATTCTACAACTGCACATAAATCTGCTTCTTCACTTACATGGATGTTACAGATCATTTAGTCCTTCCTTACTTTACGTGGCTAATAGAGGCCAGATATTTATATAAAAGTGTATTACGTTAACTAGAAGAAAATGGCCTGCTGTTGATTATCAGATGTCATAATTAAAATTTCCACAGTAACTTTCCATTCAAGGTATATAGGTACTAATAACATCTAAAGATTTTTGTCCCAGTTTCCTTAATTGCTGTGGCAATACAGTATGCTACTTTTGAATAATTACAGACTAAAATAATAAAGTTGTCATTTTCATTCAGACTCCATCGTAACTTGCAAATATTTTGAAAGCCTGGGTTATAATTCTGTAAGATAAAAATCAAGCTGTCCAGTGGTATTCTTTTCTCAGACCTCAAGGCAACCCTGATGGTAGTATTGGAGGTGGTCTTAAAACATAGTAAGAAAAATGCTACTCATCAATTACTGCACCCATGTTATTAGGAAACACTGTTGAAAGTATTTTTTAATGTTGAGATGTAGCCATATTATTATTATTATTTTTTAGTTGTGCTAATATATGAGAATGTCACTGCCTTTCCAACTTCTTAAGTCATTGAGGAAATCCAGATGTACAGAATTCTAATTTCCCTAATTTTTCTGGTTTTGGAGAGACAAAACTGGAATAAACTCCTGAAACATTGTTTTGAAATCTAGTATTCATAACTTTAATCCACAGCAGACTTTGTTGTGCCTCCCTCCCTTGGTATATCTTTGTGAGAAAAACCTAGGAATGGATTCAGACAGCCTTTCTTTCTATCTTGGGGCAGTGTAGAAAATGCATCGTGATCACAAGCAAAAGCAGCTAAGGGAAATGTTTGAGATTATTCCTTTCGCTTTTGCTTCTAATAATTCTAAAACTTTATGTATTGATTCTCATACTTTTACATATAGGTCTGCAGCTTTTCTATCATTTAGAGAATGAATTTCTTTTTTCCGTCAAAAAAGATAATATATTATTGGTGGTACCCGTATCCCAGTAGGTAGGGCTCCAGCCACATACTCCCAGGATGGTGGATTCGAACCCGGCCTGCGCCAGCTAAACAACGACAACTGCAACCAAAAAAAAAACCAACAAAACAAAATAGCCAGGCGTTGTGGCAGGCACCTGTAGTCCCAGCTACTTTGGAGATTGAGGCAAGAGAATTGCTGAAGCCCAAGAGTTTGAGGTTGCTGTGAGCTGATGCTAGGGCACTCTACCAAGGGCAACATAGTGAGACTCTGTTTCAAAGAAAAAAAAAAAAAGGTAATATATTAGTAAATAGTAGCTAGAATACCCAGGGCTACAGAACTGTGTTGATTTGTATGGTAACATACAACATGAAGCCGGGTGTCCTGCTGTTGTCCTTCCCTGTGTACATTATTTCAGTACCCCCTGAAAACTCAGAGCATCCAGTAGGATATCCACCTAACACATTTCCGTTTGTCAGTGTTATTCAGACACTCCCTTTTGGTCTTTAGTTGTTTTTTCCTCCATGACTATCTGAGCACACGTTGCCTCAGTGACTGTCTTCTAGCCTGAGCTCTTTGTGGAATCTCTTAAGACCAAGACCTTTTTCTCCTCTGCTGCTTTTTTGAATATGAGCTTCTAACTTAGGAATACATGTATTTTAAAAGGTCATGAGGAATTATCTTACAGTTTTATTAAAATATCAAGACATTTCTTTCTACCTTAGGCCCTGCTTTGACCAACATTGGCTCCCATAAACATCTACCCCTCAAACCTGGTTTTTAGAAGTTACTCAATTGATAATAAAGTAGAGAGCAACATTTATAATACTTTAGCACCTTATACCTGTCCAAAACTTTTTAAAACCATTACTCATTTGAATCTACCAACTGACTTCCTTGTGAGTCAGCGTTATGAATGAGCACACAAGAATGGGGAAATTAGGGCTCATGGCCAACATTACCCGAGGCCAGACCCTCTGCCCTTCCAGAACTGCTTTCTGTCCCCTCCCCGCCTCCCAGGGTCTTCTAAAAGGTAAGAGAAAAACTCAGGAAAAGCAAGAGAAGCTAGAATGCAGCCAAAAGCATGGAAGAAAGAGTGGAAATCCTTCCCTTTCCAGAAGGAAGTGAAATAACTCTAAGCCCTTAAAATATGGGTAGGTAACAGTAGACCAGCCAGAGATCTCACACTGGTAATTTTGAGTTCCTGTATTGCTCATTTGATTTCGAACTATGTTAAAACAAATAGTCTAAAATATGCATTTCCTTTGGATACGTCTTCACTAGATTTTAAAATAAAGCCATTTTGAAGTTATTCAACCGCAACCAAAGTCTGGACATTTTCTTTAAAAGTGCGAAAACATGTACTTGGTTTTGCTCTAAAAGTTCCGAGTGAGCTTTTGGGAATTTTCTTCAGATGACATTCAGCTTTGTGGAGAAAACTGACTAAAAACTGGGGTGAAAAGATTGAACCTCCAAAGGAAAGATCTGAAGGAAACTTATAAATAGTTAAAAGTAAGAGCTGAAGTTAAAATAGCTGACCACACTGATCACTAATTGAATTGACTCAATCCTCCTTTATCGATTTAAATCAAATTATGCCTTTGGTACACTTGGCTCCGTTTCATGACCTGATTAACAAAGATACTCCTGAAAGATG